GCTGGTCCCAAGCACTGAGGGAGTGATGGTGGGTTTCTGGAGGTGGTGGTGGGAGCAAGACACTGATATGGGCCAAACTGCTGGGAGATTGAACTTCATTCAGCGGCCTGAGGGAGCCACAGAGGGCCACAGAGGGATGGCATGGCATACATAAGGATACAGAGAACTCCCTCCTGCCGATGTAAAGTGAGCGGACTGGAAGGGACAAGAGCTTCACCTCCACCACTTCCATTACCATCTCCATCACCACCTCCACCACCACCTCCACCACTACCTCCGTCACCACCACCACCACCCCCATCACCACCAGCACCACCTCCATTACCATCACCACCACCACCCCCCATCACCACCACCACCTCCTTCACCACCACTACCACCTCCATCACCACCACCACCTCCACCACCACCTCCACCACCACTATCACCACCACCACCTCCATCACCATCATCACCTCCACCACCACCATCACCACCACCTCCTTCATCACCACCACCACCTCCACCACCACCATCACCACCACCACCTCCATCACTACCACCACCTCCATCACCACCACCACCCCCATCACCACCACCACCACCACCATCACCACCTTCATCACCACCTCCATCACCACCACCACCACCTCCATCACCACCACCACCCTCATCACCACCACCACCACCACCTCCATCACCACCTCATCACCACCTCCATCACCACCACCACCACCTCCATCACCACCACCACCACCTCCATCACCACCTCCATCACCACCACCTCCATAACCATCACCACCCCCATCACCACCACCTCCACAACCATCACCACCCCCATCACCACCACTACCACCATCACCATCATCACCTCCCACCACCACCACCTCCACCTCCCACCATCACCACCACCTCCATCACCACCAGCAACACCTCCATCACCACCACCACCCCATCCCCACTGCCACCACCTCCATCACCATCACTACCTCCCACCACCACCACCACCACCACCTCCACCTCCCCATCACCCCAACCACCCACCATCACCACCACCTCCATCACCACCACCACCACCACCCATCCCCACTGCCACCACCTCCATCACCATCACTACCTCCCATCACCACCACCACCTCCACCTCCCACCATCACCTTCATCACCACCATCACCTTCATCACCACCACCTTCATCACCTCTACCACCATCACCACCTCCACCGCCACCATCTCCACCATCACCACCTCCATCACCACTACCTCCATCACCACCACCTCCACCATGACCATGGGAGAGAGAGAGAAGACATTGTCCTGAACTGAGGCGGGGTCAGCAGTATGGAGAGAAGGGGGAGTGGGAGGCAGTTTGGAGGCAGAATGGGAGGCATGTGGTGATGGCCAGGCTGTGGGAATGAGGAAAGGAAGGGAACTGAGAAAGCCCCCAGATGGGACAGTAGGGGTGGGGGAGGTGATATGCGGATGAGGAATGACCTCAGTGTGGATTGGGTCATGGGGTAGGGGCAGAAAGGAGAGATGGGAGGTGGTTCCCAGGCCATGGGGACATTGGGCTGGGTGGGGAGCGGGGACCCCAGGTTTCTGAGGGAGTGAGGGCTGCCCGGACGAAGCCCTGTGCAGGGCTCTGGTGATTTTCAGCACCCAGGACTGGGGTCTGCAGGGGCATGAGCCAAAGCTCCAGAGTCCTGCATGTCAAATGGACGGGTGACTCTGGCCTCCCCTGCTGTTGTGAGGAGCCCACAAGGTAACAAGTCAAGCCTCTAGCTCTCAGTGGGCACTCAGGAAATAAGAGGGATTATGGGGTGACGTGTCCTCAGTGCCCCAGCAAGTGGGACTCAGAGCCCCTCCAGGGCTCCCCTACACAGGCCAGGCCCAGCCAGCCCCCCATCCCAGAGCCCACCCACCAGCCCAGGTGGGCGAGCTGGAGGGCCAGGCCAGCAGAGCCTTACCTAGTGGCGGTCCATGGGTTATCAGGATGTCTACGCCTTCGGGAATGAGGTTCCATTTCTCCAGCAGGGCTTGGCCTCGCGGGAGGTTGAAGCCCCAGCCATAGAACCAGGGCTGCCTGCAGAAGAAGTGCAGATGGTTGAGGGAGGGCGGGTGAAGGTACGGGGCGGTCACACAGAAGGCAGAACTCCCCGCAGGCCAGGTGGTCTTCAGGACCAACTTGCTACCTGGAAAGTCAGGGAAGGTCTCCACCCAGGGAAGGCAGGGACTCACCAGGACTCTGACCCACTGGCGGACTGTGGATCCCCGGGCAATTCTCTTTCCTGTCTCCTTCTGCCTACCTGTAGTTTCTGTTTTTCCATAAGTATTATTTACATAACCAAAAAAAAGAAAGCTAAATACATACATACA